GGGATTTTTTACTGCATCACCTGAAGCACAAGTGCTGTAGCAGAACACAACAACCCCAGCCAGACTGACAGGTCTGTGCAGGAGGAGAACAGGCAGCCAGCAATGGGAAGGGCAATCCCTGCACTGCCCATCCCCAGCAATCCCTGTACAGGGATGACCATTCCTGGGAACACGTGAGGACAGGGAAGTGGCAACTGAGCTGCATGAAATACAGACAAGAGTCTATGATTATGGAACTACAAGTTAAAGAGTTGCCCCACTAACCCAAACCTACTTCTCACAATTCCTAGAGTGTTCAGCTACTCCACTGATGATTGCACAAAGCTGTTATAGAGATACCAAATATTCAACCAGTAGAATGCCTTTAGCTCCTTACAGACATACAATTCAGTCAGTAATTAAAATATTCATGTATAGCATGAATAAGCAATTTTAGGCCCCTCACTAGACTAAAGCCAGTACAATGTTCCAACTAAAACATTTCTGTTCAGCTGTCCCTATCTGTGACACATGAAGGGAACAAACCAGATGCAGGCATTTTCGCCATACCCTTGGGAGATTGGTGCTACGGCAAAAATCTCCAGAGATAGATCATTGAAAAAGATTTGATGAAAGGAACAAGAACAGCAGAAACCTTTCTCAACCAGTAAGTTTAGCTTCCTGTTACCATATGCAGCCACATGATAATACCATTTATAAACTTATCAGCTACTTTGTAAAGTTTTTAAGAACTTGCACAAATTGCAAATGGGAATTATAGACATAATGGAAATGCATTGAATATGGCAATATTAAGAATTTATTTCAGAGCAAGATAAAGATTTATCATGCTAGTCATGGTATTTTTTCCAGTACAAGATGTATTTAGTAGCTTACAAATTATTACATGTTTCTTTTAGAGCTTCTGCATTAACAGTAAAAGATTAGCCCAAAATACCAACACACAATACACAAACATATTACAGAAGTATATGGATGCCTCAGTCAGGTTCTACACTTAAATACTGAATTACCATGCTACATCATATATATGAGATAAATAATCTGTCATGTCCAGATTGCTCTAAATAAAGATTACTGATTTTTTTTGTCTTATTGCACCATGACCCACTATTTTGTAGCCCTGCAATAACCTGTTATTCAAAGTGTTTTCCTTGATAGAAAACTTTAGCTTCCACTCCACAGTTTAAAGGCTTGCTTGGCCCCATACCCGGTCTGTGCCAGCTCTCAGTGGATGGGAGTTGTTCAGTAACACCGTATTTTAACTCCAAGCCGGTCCCTCCGCGGGGCCGAGCCCTCCCCGTGGTACCGCGCGGAACGCGGGGCGACAGCGCGGCAGAGCCGGGGCAGCAGCGCCACCTCGCGGCCGGTGCGCAGAGCGCAGCATCCGGAACCGGCACCTCCCATGGCAACCTGGGAACCCCACACTGAGCAAATCCCGGTACCAGCTGCCGACCCACCTGAACACATCCTTCAAAAGCTTTGGGACAGAATATTTGTAAAGGATTTGATTCATGATTCTCTACCATTAAATACTTTTTTAAAAGCTTTTTTACAGCACCAGCGTTCCATTTCACACAGTACTAGAGAACACAGGACACAATCTCCTGGGCCAAGTTCACTTCTTTGTTACTTGACACACAGGAAGCAAACATTTCTTCTGAAACTGACAAAGGTCCACTCTAAAAAAAACCAAAACCTGTAAGCCTCACTTAAACTTTAAATCAGTACAGCTTGTCTCTCTTATTTAATGCTTATTGCAAACATAAAATATTTTAATCCAGTCTGAATCTAAGGTAGACCATTCCCCTGTCAAGAAGATAAACCACCTTCATTTACTACAGTGCTTAATATTTTATAAATAGCAATCACATACTCATCTTCTAAAAATTTGAGATACACACTTGTATTTTTGGTCATTCAAAACTACTCTTTGAAATAGCATCCACCTGTTCAAGCAAGTTATAAAAGCTGTTTTAAGTCCTAGGGTATTTGAAAGCTTCTCTCAAGAACAAAATTCTGTTCTTCTTCTGTTCTTTTATATACTTGCTCCATAGTGAAGAGAGCTTGCTATAACAGAAGGTATTCCTCAAAATCCAATTCTACTGGCCTCTGCAACATTGCTTATAAAGCAACATAATAAATAAATCATAATCATCAAACCACTGATTTCTTCAAACAACTAACTGTATTTGAAATTTTAAGTGCATTTAACATTTATATTTAAAACAGAAAACAAACTCCTCTTATTATTTTATTCATGTCATAAACACAACATTCCCTATTATGTTTAGTTTCCTTAATCAATGAACTATTCAAGAAAGCTGATTGAGCCCTTGTACATCAGCCAAGACCTGGTCCTTGCACAGTGCACCGAGCCAACCTACCAAATAAATCACACAAAGCACTCTTAAATCAGAGCTGTTGTTGCTAAATTGATCTTCAGCACAAGCTGTGCTAAAACTATGAACACCTGGCAGATCATCAGACCAAAAGCAGAGCAGACCAGCTATGCTAATAATACAACAGCAACCTTGGGTTTTTTCTTCAGGAGAGAAGCAAGTCAGCAGTCAATTAGCATCAGAATTCAAAACTGCACAAAATGCTGGTAAAACAACTGAGCACCCACCCTATTAGTTTTCAGATGAACAAGGCTTTGAAAAATTTCAATTTACCATACATTGCTTTGAAATTAACAGAGAAGAGTTACCTGAAAATAATCAGATATATGCTAAAAATGGTAATACAAACTGAGTGGTAATACTTCCCTTATGAACATTCTTCCCTACTGAGTGATGATTTCCCAGCATCTACCAATGTGAGACACATAATAGTAATCATCCTCAGAGACCTAAGACACAGTATTTTGGAAAGGTCTCACCATATTTTGCAACTAAACTTAACTCTGCCTAATTCTATTTCAAAAATAGTTTTCTTTCTTCCAGACAGTTTTAGAGCTCCCCTCTTTGCCTTTTTGATCTCCTTATGCTTTCTAAAAGGCAAGACTAACTACTCTAGGAATTAGGAAAAGCTTCTGCATAAACAGAGTTGACCTTAAGTCCCCAGAGAAAGAGGACTTTTATTTATTTCTAATGGTTGCACGTAAAAGGTGTTCCATTGCTTTCTGAACATCAATAAATTCAGGGAATTAGACACATGAAAGTGTGTTACTGTGTGTCTAACTTCAAAAGCAAGAAAAATTTGAAGTTCTAGCCATTCCCAAAAATGAAAGCTTTGTCACATGAGTATTCTCAGAAGGCTCTTCAGAGGGCAGTATAGCCCACTTCTAAAAGGTTATTCATTAGGGCTTCAAGAATTCAGCTTGCCTAGCTGAAGACTATGGAAAAATACTGAGAGTTCATTGTGGAGATATAAGTAAAAATCACTGGCTCAATACCATCATATACATTTTAAAACTGTTAGAAAAGCTGGAAAACAATTACTAAATGCACTCACACACTACAGTTGGCTCTTCTACAGAATCCTTACAAGTCAATGATAAAGATTCAACTAAGTTTTTCTTCATAATTGAAAAAATGGAAATATAAGGTTAAAACATTGTTTCTTAAAATATCATTGAATGGTTTGGGTTGAAGGGGCCCTAAAGATCATCTAGATCAAACTCCCTGCCACAGGCTCAAAGACCCTGCACTATGCTCAAAGTCCCATCCAACCTGGCCTTGAACACTTCCAGGAATGGGGCAGCCACCCCTTCTCTGGGCAGCCTGTGCCAGGGCCTCATCACTCACAGGAAAGAATTTCTTATAATACCTAATCTAAATCCACCCTCTTTCAGTTTGAAGCCATTCCCCCTCTTGTCCTACCACTACATGACCTTGCCAAAATTCCCTCTCCAGCTTTCTTGCAGCTGCTTTATGGGACTCTAAGGATGAGCAGCCCCAACTCTCTCGGCTTGTCTTCACAGAAGAGGTGCTCCAGCATTCTGATCATCTTCATGTCCTCCTCTGGGCCTGCTCCAACAGGTTCATGTCCTTCTTTTGTCAGGGACCCATCCCAGAGCTGGATGCAGCACTGAGGGTGGGGTCTCAGCAGAGCAGAGGGACAGAATCCCCTCTGTCCCTCCCTCCCCTGCTGCCCACTCTGTTTTGGATGCAGCCCAGAGCATGTTTGGCTTTCCAGGCTATGAGTGCACATTGTTGGGTCATGTCCAGCCTCTCATCCAGCAGCACCCCCAAGTCCTCCTCCCCAGGGCTGCTCTCATGTAACAGCATTTGTTCTTTGCAGCTGCAAAGGACACTGCAGCACACAAACAATTCATGCAAAAAGTACCAAGCTGTAAGCCTACCACAACATAAGCCCATCTCATCACTCTAAAGCACAAACATTCCCCAGTATCAAACAATTTCTCCACCTTTCCCTCAAAACCAGCCACAAAGACTCAGAGATATTACAGAAAACAGCATTTAGTCTGACACACAAAAAACCTGTGCTATTCAGAACGTGATTGAGCTATGTCTATGTACTAACACAGCAAATAAAACTGCCTGTCATTACCCCCTCCCAAACCTCACACTCAGTTTGTTGTCTAAATCTTTAAATCTGTCTTCAAGTTACTGAAGCAATTTTGCATATAATGGTGCTGCATGCTGAAAAACTTGACACATATATGGCACTTGGCTTATTACGTATCACACATAGATCCTCAATTAAAATATTTACTAGAAACAAAGTCAGAATTGACTCTACAGGTTTCTGACTGAAAATCCAAAATGAAAGCAACCAACCCGAACTTCAGTGCCCCTCAAAGCTACATCCAAAATCTTATGTTACCTGTAGTTGTTTTCTGGGCATTTTACTACCATGCATTTCTAGTTAGAATGTGTGGAGCTAAGGCAATGCTTGAATGTATACTAAGTAAATTTCACAATTGAGCAGCTCCATATAAAACAGAAAGAGGTGCTTTGTGTACATTATTTTGTCCCACAAAATTAAATTCCTGAGGAGCATTCCAAAACAGCTGACTATTTAAAAATGCCTACCTTTACTGGTGAAATATGAGAATGGGAAACAAATCCATGGACATTCTCAATCTGGGACAGATTCTTCTCTGATACATGAACCAGCTCTGGACCTGTCACCTCATTGGCAATGTGTGGAGAGCTGTGCTCCTGTGGGGGTGTGTCTTCATCCTGATAGCGGTATTTCTGAAAAAAAATTATAGGAAAAGATCAGGCCACCATAGAAATGAGAAAAGAATCCAGAAAACCTAAGTCAGACAGAAATAGTTGTTTTTCTGACCTTGCTGACTTCAAAGCAATAAAATCTATAAATAAAAATTTTAATTAGCATTTTTATTTTAAAACTGATCCTATCCAAAAATGTTCCAGCCCTTTTAGTCCCACCTGGGATTACTATAAAGCTACCTAAACCCCAGCAGGGTTTACTGTGTCCATAAGAAACATCCCAACATTTTCTAAGCACATTCACTTTCACACATTACTATACTCCCAAGTACATAAACAGTTATTAATAGTTTATAGGGAAAGCATGTCATATTATTAAAGGTACAGAAAAACTTTCTAAACACATACTCATTTTAATCTTGGGAAAAGTTATTCCTGTTATTGAAGCATATTTAAGATAGAAGCTATTTCCTTAGGGTTTCTTCTAAACAAAATTCCAAGATCTACATAGTACAGCTTAAGTCAAAATAGACATTTTCCTGGTAATTCTTTTATATATCATAACCCAGTAGACAACTGCAAGTAACCAATTTGTCTGTAAGCACAGGAACACTACAGCAAGGCAGTATCAGACAAACAGTGCATAATTTTTAACCCTCTCAAGAGTTACATGCAATTTCTATTTCAGGTTACCACAAAGATCCATTCTCACCATCAGAAACACCTACAACATTAAAAAGTTAAGATATACAGGATAAACTACAAAGAAACTGCTTTGAAAAGAAATGATCTATCAGTTATCAGCTCCTGAACAAATTCTTAAGCCAACTGTAAAGTAGAAGCAATTCAAGTGTATTTTCTCTAAAAATACTAATTAGCAGAAAAGCACAAGACCTACTTCTTCCAGCATAAGAAATTACTCCAAAGAAGAAAGCAAGAGAATTACAACTTCTGTTACCACAAGAACCAACTCCAAAAACTTTCAGACCTTCTCCTCAGCTGGATGTACCAAAGGAGAGAGAGTTAAGTCTGACAGATGAGAAAAATTGCAATAGTTACTCAAAAAGCCCTAGTTTTTCAAATTTTTACCAGACAGGATTTATGAGATTATTAACTTTATGATTATTATTAACTTAATAGCTCACTACTACTGGAAGATAAAAGTTCTTTTTCTTTCCTTTCCCTGCAGCAGTGAGATGCTGGATTGCTCAGCCTCAGACTGCTGCCATTCATCTTTTTTCTGAGATTGACTTGTTTTTCACTTATCAAAATAAAACCCTGAAAGGAGTTGACATTAGCTCTCTAGAGCAGCCATATTAAACACTGGAAACAGGGAAGAATTATAATTTAAACAAAGTGTTGGCCAAAAATGCAAGGGTACGTTACCAGAGTATAAATCAGGCCACACTGGCAATTAGAGAAAATAAACATTAGATCTCCAAGAAGCAGAGAAAACGTCTTAAAGCATCAGAGAATGTAGGACTTCAGTGAGCTTAAAGCAGCCTGCTCCACTAATGAAGGCTGTGCTTGTGATTCAAAATATCCCTAGCAGACCTTGAGCTTTGATTTCTTTGAAATACAGGAAAATTATTTGATCTGGAAACTAAATCCACTTTCATCTCAGACAAGTTCCTATAGAAACTAGATGTGGATCATTCCCGTTTTACTGTGGGGGCCAGGGCACACACAACATTCTCACAAAAACCCTGAACACACTAATTAGTCAAGTAGTCACAAGTTAATCAAAACTCATTTCCTTTACAGAACAGTTAATATCTTTAGACAAAGCACAGAATTAGCTTGCTTTTTTCCTGAAACCAGACATATTTATTAGAAACAGGTACTATTTGAAACAGATACTTGAACATGACTGAATGTAAACAGGCTCTAGATTTCACTAATAGATGTTATGCTTACATTATAGAGTGCATCAATGCTTATAATATAATAGTGCATGTAAAGTTTTAATAGATCAGTACTTCATTATTTTAATTAAAAATGAAAAAAATGTTGTGGTAAAAACATTTAACACATACTTCTGACAGAGACACTGCCCCAGAAGATTCTGTTGCATAATACAGGTGTGTGAAAATTAACTTAAAACATTTCTTTTCTGATGCAACATAGTTAAAAGGGTATCTTCAGGTTAAATTGAAGATAAGTTTTGAAATAAGTTTTGAAATGTCACCAAACTCTATGGACACTGGTGTAAACTACTGAAAAATCCATTTATTTTAATAAATCAGTGCTAGTTTTGGTGAGATGAAACTCAGAAATGAACCCAATTCACCACAGTGAAATAATTTTTCAGGCCCACAACATCCCTGCTTCAATGCTCAGGCCTAGTAAAGTTAGACAAAAAAAAAGTACAAAGTTATCTGCAACAATATGCAGGAAAAACAAGGATTTTCTGGACATTTTATAGCACCATTTATCAGAACAGAGAACATCTGTTCACAGGAAAAGCATAGAAAAGTTTTAGGAAACCCATTCTAAGAGATTCACTTTAGTCTTCCTAGTCTCTTCTCTGTATTTTTAAAAGAAGATATTTCAAACTCCCTTCCTTCTGCAGACTTTAGTCCTCCCCATCCACCAGCCATACAACTCCCAAGTCACTGCTCACTTCCATCAACAAAGGCAACAAATCCCAGGAACACCCAGGCTGACTTACAGTCTGCCCCTGCTTGAGTTTTCATTTTCACTGTACAGGTCCAACCATGGTTACAAAGAGGTTAAGAATAAAAGGAGACTGGAATAAGTAAATCTAACAATTTGAATTTGATAAATATACAGGAGATCGCAGGGCCAGACCCTTTCTGAGGCGGTATGAATAGGCAGCATGATGAAACCAAGTAGTTTTAGATCATTTGCACACAATTCCCCAAGTTTAAATACTTGTTCTTTTTTCATCATTTCTCCATTGTACCAGTTAAACTAAATCTGGAAGGACCCTTCCAAAGATAATTCCAGCAACTGAAGTTCTTGTGAAGCACTGTTTGACATGCAACACTTCCACTCCAGAAAAATTGACCTGGACACAGTGTGAAAAAGAAAAGGGTAGAGAAGTCTGAATAGCTACAGCTCTCACATCTCCCCAGCTTTCACAACTCTGTCACCATTCAGCAGAAAATAACTTCCAACAACCCTAGTAACAAAAGCAACAATACAGAATATTGTGCATATCTTGCTAAAACAAAACTAATCAAAAATTCATAATACATTAAAGATGTAATGAATTTGTACAAGTCTTTCCTGTAGTCTAGTGCTAAACTAGAAACTACTGCTTAGAAAAATAATAGTGCCTTCCACCTAAAGGAAACAAAACTAAAGGGATGCTCCACTACTGCAGAACTGAAGCCAACCTGAAACTTATTCGTAAAAAAAAAAGAAGACTATGAAAGCCAAATAAAATCTCTTTGTAGGTAAACAGCTAAGTTAAAAGGCTGTGAAAAACAAAAGGAACTTAGTACAAGAAAAGATTACAGTATTCATGTCTTTTTAGATCATGTGTTCGTGTCACTGATCATGGAACAGGACATTCAGTATAATTTTCAACTTGGGCATCAACATATGACAAACAATGATCTTCAATATTGGAAGAAGGTTTTTTATCTTTGGGGTTGCTTTTTCAAACATAAGCTCAGTATTTTGAATAACTAACTGCTTCATTTTCAAACAAAAGCACTAAGTTTTCTCTAGTAACTAGAGCTATGACAAAGACATAAGGCATTTCACCCTTCTTGAACAGTTTCAGTTTGACATTGTATCTTGAATATAAGTGCTCATAACATGGTTATTTAGGTCACAGTGTTCCATCATATGTCAAAATGCACAGCCACTGTTAAACTTATTTATGTAATGCTTCATGTCATGGACATCCACAAGCAATAAAACAGCTGAAGATAAGGATATTTCTAATATTTGTAATAAAGTAATATTTGTAATAAAGTTCACCATTCCAGAAGGCTGAGGAAAAGAGAATAAAGAAGGAATGCTCAGATTGTGAATGTTCTTTTCATGTGGCCAAAAGGGATAACTGAAAACACTATTTTGTGTGATTACTTGTGTGAAATTAATTGTTTCATTAGGTGAAGGACTGGTACAGGTACCCTGCATTACTATTTCACATTGAACACTAAGTAGATATTTAGATGACAAAGGATGTATCTTCTCAGAGGACAAGAACATTTTATTTTTAGTACTATCCAGCCCTACAACTTTTATTCAAAAATTGACAAGTGCCTGGTGCAAAACCTCTCTGCACTCCAGAGTCGCTGCTCAAGCAGAAACCCTTCGTTGGCTGGAATGAGGGCAATGGAGAGGTACGGCGCGGGCAGCACGCAGGGAGCGCGGGCACCACCGGGGATGGGCAGCGGGCCGTGTTTATCCGCAGGTAACTCGGCCCGGGCACCACCGGCCCAGGGCACCCCGAGACGGCCCCGGGGAGCGCTCCCCGCTCGGGAGGCCGCGGCCGCCCTGCCCCTGCCCCGTGCCCTACGCGCAGCCAAAGGACGCCGTGAAGGCGAACACGGCCCCTGCAGCGCCCCCCGGCGGCCGCCCCCAGCCCGGGCAGGGGGACGCGCAGGGGGCGCGCAAGGGGGATGAGCACGGGGACGGACGCGCGCAAAGGGGGGGGACGGACGCCGCCATCGCTCGGCCCCGCCGCTCCATGCCCCAAGTGCTGCCTGCGTGCTCGCTGGATATTTTTAGTTTGCTCTTAAAGTGAACAGCGTCCCTGCTCTGCAGCTCAACGGGCAAAATCCAGCCCCGGAGTATTTTCATTCCATGGCCTTCTTCCTAAGTTCGCTGTTTAAACATGAGCATATTGTATAAATAAGGAGTGTGCAGTTGCAGAAAGAAAGAAGAAAAGAAATCTTAGTGCTATATCAAGTAGTGCTATATCAAATGGCATCAATAAATAGGTACATATTTCGAACTGAAAAATGCTTGGGACGCTGGAAGGAAAAGCAAACTCACAACAAGGCAAAGTCTTCCTCCTGGAAATATAGCATTCAACTTCA